TGACCGGTTTTTTTTTTTTTTTGTTTGGTCTTGTTCTCAGATCTAGAGAACAAACATGGGCTGCTTGCTGCTATGGTGATCAACTGAAAAATATTCAGTTTATCATTACAACTATTCAAGTATACTTTTTTTCATTATTTATTTACTACATTTCTTCTGTTGTATTGCTGGGAATTTTGACAACCTGGGAGTCTATATTTCCCCAGCTTTGTACTTAAACTTTAAATGTGGGAATTCTTTTGTTTTCTTTTTTTTTAATTTAAAATCTGTTATTGTAATGTCTACTTGCTTCATTTCAATGTGATACTGAGGGAATTTGACAACAATGATTTCAAGACTTTTGCTTTACTCTTCCGTTTTCCATGTCTACACACCTCCCAAGATGACACTTTTGTTGAGATAACTCAGAGGTGTGTAGAACATGATTGATCTTGCATTTTATTCATAAACGTTAACAAATATATTTTTTCATATTTTTTCCTTAATGTTTTTTGATAATTACTCTAAGGTCACTCCTTATTTATTTCTTTAATTTTCTTTTTTTTGTTACTCTTTGTTTAAAGTACTCCATATTTTTTTAGAATTTCTTCTATAAAATCGTATGAAAATTCAAAATTGTTTGTATGATATAAAAATAAATGAAATAAAAAATTCTTAATTAAAAAAATTATGTCTCAATGAATGTTCAATGTATGACCACCAATATCTACTTTACATTCCTTGTCTTCATGTCTTATATTCAAACCTTGCTGTCATAGAGACAACAAGGGTCACGATGAAATTAAAATTGGTATAATATTGATAAGGGTAAAATGTACTCACTTATCTAAAGTTTATCAGTCAAGACTCCATTAATGGTAGATGAGAGTGAAGATGAAGTTATAGGATTTTCTAAGCCTTGTGAGCCAAAGAGTGAAGGGAAAACAAGCATTCTTACTTCAAGTCCAATTTAGCAAAGGCTCTATATAAAGTCTTGGTCTCTTATGTTATCTAGTTGATTATTGTTGAGTTTCGAATAAGAGAATGTAAGAGTTTGTTCTTCAAATCATTAGTGTTATTTATTTGCTACTTCAAATCATTAGTGATGTTTATCAAATCATTAGGATTTTCTATAAAATACATTTTTATTGCTACTTCAAATCATTAGTGCTATTTATCACATCATTGTATTTTATAAGGAATAGACATAATTATAAATTTAGACTTACAAGACAAAATTATTTACTTTTTTGAAATCATTTTATTTACAAATTGATACATGAATAAAAAAGAAAAATTACATTTTAAAAATTTGCGTCAAAAATTATTTAAAACAAAAAGTGACAAAGATTTTATTTTACATAAAAAAGACACTTCAAAGACTCGATCAACAAGTTTGGTGCTATCATTGACCACGCTGATGATCTTTCTTCCATGCTTCAAAGTTGGCTCATAGAAGGGTTTTGGGAATAATTACCTATTCTACTATAATTGAGATTATTCATTATTTTCCACACACACATATATATATATCTGTGTGTGTGACTTTCATTGTTTAATAAGACCAATTATTAACAAATTGTATCATGATATTAGAGTTAATGTTTCTCATCTAAAAAAATCTGGCGTCCCTCCTTTTATAACCGTGCGCCACTGCCGGTCTCCGTGATTGACGGTTGATCGTCACAACATGGCTTCGTCGTACCTTATCCCTCTTATTCTCTCCAAAAAATAATGAGTGTTCCGATCCTAACACCCGTCATTCCTTATCTCTCTCTCCAAAAAAAATTATGTGCGCGCGTGATCGAAGAATGAACTAGAAAGCTACATTTGTGTATGTATGTGTGTTTCTTCTAGAATAAAATTTCTCGCTCTCACTCCACTCGGCAGCACTCTCTCCAGAAAAAACTCATCAAACGTACTCTCAAGCTAATTTGTCATGCAACGAAGATCTGTCTCTGTACTTTTAACAGCTATCCTAACAAAACTGCTTTCGCCGACTCCATTCAAATATCTGTGTTCCAAGTTGCTTCTCGTTACCGATTATTAAGTTTTAAACATCCCAAAAAAAGTATTGTCAGCCTACTTCATGACTACGTTTTACTTTTTCATTTGTTTCTCTTTCATTTAATTTCCTTTTTCAATTCTTTATTTTCTTTCTATTTTGAAAAAAAAAAGAATTTTTTAACTTGAGATAGATGAAGTATATAATATTTTTTGTAATTTTGTTATTTTTAATTTTAAACACAAACAATTTTGAAATAAAGAATGATTTTTTAGGTAATAAAGAATGATTTTAAAAAGAAATTAAAAAATAATACGGAGTAATAAAATACTGGGCATACTTAGGGCTGGACACGGTACCGGTTCGGTACCGTCACCGGAAACGGTACCGCCGGTACCGAGCACCGTGACGAATACCGGGACGGATTAACGGTTCCGAGAACCGGCACCGGTACCGCCACATCCGGTCTCGGTTCCGGTGCCCCAAAATCGTTACCGGCACCGCCGGTACCGGTGCCGGTTCCGGTACCGGTTATATTTTTTTTTTCTCCTTTTTGCTCTAATGCTCTCCAACGGTAACCTGCAAAAAAAAACAAAGTTAGTGGG